CGCCACTAGGGAGGGACCAGCATTATCTGCCTTATGTAAAACATCAAGATTAAGTCTCATCATTGAATGCAGTTACTAAGGTAGGAACTTAATGTTAAGAATGATCTGACATAGAAACATTTTCAACAATAGACAAGATTTCTACCTAATTCACAGTAAACCACAAAATTCTGCTATCCAGAGCTCCTTGTATTTCCTGAGCATTCAAGTTAAACTTTGCTGCATTGATTAATGCCTCTACTTGTGAAGATGAAGCCATGTAACAGGTTTTGGGGCTTTCGATCGTTTGAAATGATCCTTGCTGCTCCTGTCTCTACCGTGTCAGAGTAACTCTTGATGTAATTTTCAATTACCTGAGCCTCCCAGGAAGCAGGTAGACATTCCTGGTGTCTTTTCTGAAAAGAAATCCTGGCTGTGTGGATCTTAACAACACAACAGCTGGGGAAGAGGGTGCAAACAGAAAGGCTTCTTCATTGATCAGGTGACCAACTCCATCTTGTGGGGGGCTTGGGAAACACATTCAGAGGCTTCATGCTCCTGGATCTAAGGTTAGAGCAGGCTCCTCTCTGGCTTTTTCAGCCTCATAGGGCAACTGGGCTCTTGTCTTTTGTTTCTTTGACCTGCAAAGTTGAAAGCTCACAGGAACTTTGCTGGAATGGAGTATGTCTTGAAAACTGGACAACAGAGCATCTATACCAGTCTATCTTTCTATGTCTTTCTAGGTCAGCCTGCACAGAGTAGTCCATCTTTAAAAAGGTATGTGTGGGACCACCCTGGTGCTGCAAGGGGTTAAAGCAGGGCACTATGAAGCTCTCAGCAGCCACCATAGCTTGAGTTATATCCCTGGCGGGGAGGTGACCCACATCACCCAGCAGACCCTTCCTGTCTCACCCACTGCTCCCTTCAGCAGTGTATTTGAGTCAATTCACCTGTTCTGCCCTCCACTACTGTGTCTGGTGAATTCTCTCACCCCCTGCACTTCTGGCCTGTACCCCAACTCTTGTATGCATAAATAAATATATTTTTTTTAAGTCAAGAGGCAGATGGTACACAGGTGATTTAGTGATGGGAAGCCCATGGGTATTACAACTGATAGAAAAAGGCACAAAATGATGTAAAAATAAACTATTAAAAACATAAAAAATATTTATGAAGAAAAAAAGTAAAGAGATATGTGTATTTGTGTATTGGGATGATCATACCACATTCCAGCTCAAGTAGAGTAGGCAGCACCCCATTATAATGCACCTCACTGTATAAGGGAATCTCATTTGGCAAAATAAAGATGCCCCCGAACAGTTTCACATGATTGAGAGTTGTGTAAATACAGTTATATTTTTTAATGACTCAATAATTAAATAGATCGCATGGAATTTTTCTTTTAATCTAATAGCTTCTCCCCAATAGCTGTGTTTTGAAAATTTAAATGCTCGTGTACTATTAACACATTTAACTGGAGTCCAAAAACAGCAAGGGTCCAAATAACCTGAATTTTTTTCACAGTTCTATACAACAGTAATTTATACTCAATTTGACAGAATAGAATTTTAAAGTGTCACATTCTGCTCATTTCAGTTTTATCGCTAAGCATATTTACTATGTTTTTGTTTCCAGGTGTCTACTGGTACACCTGAATCAGACCTGGATTCAACATGCACTGCTTCTTCAATTAAAGCTTAGCGTGTGAAAAGAACATTCGGGTTCCTGGGTCCCACCCAGATCTACTGCATCCATATTTGGGGGGTTAGAGAGTAGACCCCTGCATTTTTCCCGATTCACCAGCTCATTCTCATGACACCAGAGTGAGGAAAGCCCCTTCTTACAGTTTATTTAGTACCTCTGTAATAACGGAATTCTTCCACTAGTGAAAGCACCCCAACCCCCAGACAAATCTAGATTCAGAGGAGTTTACTGTTTCAGAGATAGGAGTCCTTATTCTATTTGTTACAATATGATTTGACCAATAAACTCAAATGGACTTTTCTGCTTCTCCATCTGCAATCCTCCCCCTTCCCTTTCTATAATTAAAACCCAACTTAAAGAAACAAACAACAGGAACTATAGGGACAAACTTATAGGTGAATCCAGGGGGACACAATATCTGTTAGTGATGGCTCTCCTTTGAACACTTCCATACTGGCTTTCAGTGAAACACACACAGAGATACACACCCCCCTCTGCATCAATTTCCAGTACTAGCTGAACATCAGGTACCTGAGTAACAACAATCACTTGCCTCCTTCCTTTGTTAATATATTCCAACCTAGCCACCCACAGTCATGTTTTCTATAGCAAAGGTTCATAGCCACCTTTCATGAATAGGGGTTCCTACTCTTAAATGACATGGAAAATAGCCTTTCCTCACCCATGGAGTGTCTGAATCTTTGCTCAAACATTTGCTCACCAGTCAGAATTTTTTTACTAAATGCAGCTACCTGAAGCACACAAAGTCACACAGATCCTATAAATTGCCTTTCCAAGCCACCAAAAGGTAACCTTACCCCCTCCCTTTGCTCTCCCACCCCTTACTTGTGTTTAAAAATAAAACCCAATTCTGCTGACGACTGGTTTTCTTCCTCATCACAGGAAGTGGACTGGGTGAGTTCTCACATCACATGTTTAACAGAGGGCACCAAACCGTGTCTTTGGGTAGCTGCCCTGTGTGCCGAGAGCTGTGAAGCTCTCCGGGCAGCCTTTAATTTGCCGGAGGCCTCTTCCTCAGAAGGCCCCAACTTTGCTAGAGCTAGTGAGGAGGCTGGCTGTGGAGTTGGTGACCTAGGCAACAGGCGTCAGGCTTGGTCACTCACAGCCTGGCTTGTCAAAAGCATCCATCTTTAATCCCTTCCCTCTTTTTGCTTTTAGCGCCAACCCCTGCCTCTCAAGAAAAAAAAAAAAAAAGAGGCAAAAAGAAACAAAACAACAGCAAGCACATGTGACCTCTTTGCTGTCCTAAAATAGAAAGATAATGAACTATCTTAAACTTCCTTCCTGCTCTCTAGCAATTACAATACAGAAGTCACTTAACTGGTATTAAAACTATGACCCAAATGCCAATGTTAGGTTTTGGGTTTCAACAACAGTGTGTGGAGGCACAAAGGAGGTTGGTTGCTTTTTCTTTTTCTTTTCTTTTCAGTTCCCCCAGTTCTATTGAGGTAACATTGACAAATGAAATTGTATATATTGAAAGTATACAATGTGATGAGAGGATGTAAAGTGAGATTTTGCATGTATGGAGTTCAACAGATTCCAAAGTGCATTGCCTGTACTCATGGGGTGGGTAAAATAATCCATTAAAGTATGTAAATAAACTATTTGGACCCTGGTTTCATACTTGTTGTTTCTCCAAAATAACAAGAAATTAAGTATTATAAATATTCCATAAACACACTTCACTGGCACCCTGCGCCCTTGCAAATGCTAGATGACAAGGTGAGCTAGCAAGCTCCAAGCAACAAAAAGTTGAAAGTGGAGCATTTTATGAGCACCCAGATTGGATTGCCTTGTTTTGTCCCACGACAAAATGGACAAGTGGCTTAGAAAGACTCCTACTATGGAAACACGTATTGAAAATGACCCTTGTGATGTAAGCCCAGTGGAACAACAAGAAAATGGCAGGTGACATTTTTGATACTCAAGGTGAGCTGTTTGTCAGCCATATTGTGAGACTGAACAATGATGTGTTAAAAATGCTCTTATTTTGTACTGATATTTCACCATTTATTCTTGATGTGAAAAACAATTTCAAAACAATATAGTCATACTTAATAAGAAGTCAGCAAAAATTTTCAGAATTTTCTAGTGGGACATTTGAAATAAGAATTTATAGTCCTGGGCCTTGTAGGTGGCACAAAGGGTTAAGACATAGCACTGTGAAGCTATCTGCAGCCACTGCAGCATGAGTTTGATCCCAGGCCAGGGAGCTCACCCACTTGGTGCAGGAGATCTATTCTGTCTTGCCCCACTGTATTCATCAGCAGGGTATTTCAGTAGATTGAACTGTTCTGCTTCCCACTCTGTCTCTGGTGAATCCTCTCACCCTACCCCCTCCACACACACCTCTGGCCTGCACCCCAGCTCTTGTATGCATAAATAAATAAAATAAATATTAAAAATAATTTATAGCCTTTGTTTTGGGGGAGAGATTTATTTAATTATGTATACAAGAACTGGGGTGTAGGCAGAGAGATGCAGGGGGGCCTGAGAAGATTCACCAGAAACAGGGAACAGAACAGGCAGATCTACTGAAACACATGCCATAAAAGATACAAACATGGACATTCAAAAGTTAGATAAAATGAAATAATCAATTCTGAGCATGTTTATGTTAACACTGACTAAAATTTCAAAGAATGATATACAATTTGTGTGACGTCTGGCATTAAATATAAGGGATGAGCTGGTTGTCAGCCACATTGTGAGACTGACATTAAAAAACAATGACACATTAAAAATGCTCTTGTTTTCAGTTGCAATCCCCTTGGGTTAAAAAATAATAATAATTTTTTTAATGCTCATGTTTTATGATGATATTTATAAATGACTAGATATACAAATTTTAGGAGTAAATATTGCTCATGTATTTCCTGATAGGATGGCAGGGCCACTTTGGAGATGAAGGTTACTGGTCAGAGTGTCAAGATGCAGAGGTTCTCAGATTTCAAGTTAAGACCAGGTGACCTCTATTATATATAGGAGAGGAAAGGACTTTAACCCAAGGTTAACCCTGCTAGTTAACACATTCTAGACCAGAAAACCAATACCCTAAAGAATGAGATGTCTTGCTTAGGATCACACCACTAGTTAGTGATGAGCTGAGATTCTTTTGATTCTTAATCCAGTGCTTTTCTGAACAGGCCCAGAGTTGCCACTCTAGGTAAACATGGAACTTTGTAAAGAAGGAAAACTGAACAAACACTAGAAACTCAAACAGAACATCGTGGAAGTTGGACCGAATGTCTGTAACCAGCAAACTAAGACCCACTTACGCCTTTTATACTTACAATCACTCCTGGGTAATAGCCGCCAACAGTCACATTCTGGGTCCTGGTGGTGGCAGCGAGGCCCACCGTGAGAATTAACACGGACACAATAAGCAAAGTCACGGTAACATAGATAGAGTTTCGTTTCCTCCGATTAAAGGCTCCTGAAAGCACATAGAGAAACTGAAATTGCTCAACTGGCCAAAGAAATAATGGCCTTAAAGAAAAAAAAATCAGTAGGCCGGTTGTATTTTCTTACTCTAACTGATAACTGGAGTTAGCTCTGGGGAGTGGAATTATGGGGAAGGACTAGCACTTTGGTTTTTTGCAATCATCAGTTACCACATTACAAGAAAATATATATAGTTTGAAAATAAGTAACATAAGAAATCTTACCAGTTATATAAAAACAAAACAATTTTTTTGTGTTTTCGGCATTCTATCAAACATGTGTCATACCCACTTAGTAGGGTGTTTTTATTAGGCCAAATTATACAGCATGTGATAAATGGGAAGTTTACTTGTGGAGGTATTAAATTAAAACATTGTAAAGCCAACATACAACTAAAAAGGTTTCTTTCATAAGCTGGAGATATGAAATTTCATTTTAAATGTAAACACCAGGACCAATGCAGGTCCCGGGATTTTTTTTTTTTTTTTCATTTATTTCTGTCATTTGCTGCCTTGTGTATAAACTTTAAAATGGTGTGCTGGCACGATTTGTCACATAACAAATGTGTGTAATAAAGTAAGTGTTTGGAGGCCATTAGTCCACAAAGATATGTATCGGAGGAGTATATGGGGAGGATTATAATGTATACACATTTAGGCTTATGTGAGGGTGACATAAATATAAACGATGAAACCATTCTCAGTGCTTATCAGACATGATAGCACAAAGCAATATATTTTTTAAAAACAGGCTTATTAAGTCAGATCGAACAATGGTATCCAGGCTAGCTTTTCAATTAAAAAAAAAATTTTTTTAAGGCATCAAGCAGCACCCACATTGTGTGTGCTTTTTGTAGCATAGGATCAGAGTCCTGGACTGGAAACACCAGGAAGAGGTACCCACCTAGGAGTTCTCCTAAAAATATGCCAAGAGGAGGGGGCTGCTAGGAGATTTCAGTTTTCTAGTTGGGGGATGAGGCAATGGGTAACTTAATGAGGGGGTCGCCAGCCCAGGAGGCTTGACTGTCATTTATGGGCCTGAAGAGGCCCCTTGAGTCTGCTCATAGGATTCTGTCATTCTGGGAGGCCTCTAGGCAGCTTCAGGAAGCAGCTGCCTAGTGAGCCGCCAAGACTGCACCGCTGGGAGGGAGGAGAGAGGGGGTGAAGGAAAGGGAGGGAGTCGAGAAAACCAGTGAGACTCAGGAGGCCCAGGTAGTAGAGAGGTGAGGGGCTGTGGCTGGCCTGGAGTCAGGAGTGCCACCCGGGGTTAGCCCCACAATTCTTCTCGCCTTCCCCAGTGTGGTCGGTTGGTATGTCGCTGCCCAAGTCTCCGAGAAAGGTGGGAGGGGCTGGCGGTCTCCCCTGACGTCAGCCTGGAAAGTGAGGGACGTGACTCATCAGGGTCATTTCTAGTAAGATACTATTCTGAAAGTATTTTGCATGGAAAGGTAGAAGTGACTTGAGAGACTGTTGGCACCCACCTACTAAGTTGTCAACTCTCACCCTAGGAGGAGAGTTGGGGGGCGGGTAGGGAGGCGCCTCTCCAGGGGGCCTTGAGTCCAGCCTCCAAAGGGAAAAACCTAACGGACCCCTGGAGATACCTTTGACCTCAGGGCCCTTTGTGGGAGAGGTTCTTAGGGGTGCAAATGGAGAGTTGGCGGGTAGCAAACAGAATGAGCCTGGCCCAACAGAGAACTAAGAGGGGTAAGGATTTACTTCTGTTTACCTGAAAGATACCCTTTCTCTTGATTTCGAGAGACAGCCCCCGCCCACACCCCCCCCCATGAATCTCTAAACCTAATTCAATTTGGTGACAGAGACCTGTCAGTGAATCTGTGCCTGTTGCTTCTGCAGAGGGTCTCTAACATAAATTTACCAACACCCCCCACCCTTACCGCAGTCTGCCTTTCTGCTCTGTCACTCACACCATCTCTAGCCCTTCCCCATGCTACATTGGCAAATTAGAGTGAGAATGCACTAAGGTTTCTTTGTGGCACACCAAAGTCTCAGTACTTCACACGGAAAACATCTAACCGCAGACACTATACTGGGGGCGTGTGTATACGTGCATGTTCTTTCTAAAATTTTTTCTTTCTAATTTTTTTTCTATCATTCACAGGTTCCTTCCCTGCTAACTAGCTTTTGATCCTATTTACGGCTCTTGGGTTTCCTTTGCAAATATCACTATACTCTTAAAAGCTCAGAAGCCCGGTCAGAAAAGTGACTCAGCAAACCACATGGTGTCATTTGAAAAATCTATTTTTTTTTCCCTCCTTTAGAACCTGAATTGAAAATCCAGTGAGTGGAGAGGCCCAGGCAAAGATCCTACAGCTTCACAGGGCCCTGGCCTACAGACAGAATTTGTTTTGAATACAATTTCCCCGAAAATTTCCCCATCACTAGGCTTAATATTCTGTCTATTCATACTCTCCCTCAGTCAGCCTTTATTTGATACTATAAGGACCACAATTGTAGAAAATGAAATAATTCCTAGTCGTACTTGGGGAATTGACCATTTTAAGGAACCCTGGGTAAATCCTATTGAAATTGGAAGAATCACACCTCCATTTATCCTAAGTGTCAATTTGTCTTAAAATTCACATCTACTTAGAGCAAGACATGCCTTTTCTCTGACTGAGTGGCTGGGCTGTTAAAAAGGCAGCTCATTGTATCCGTTTCAACATTTTCCTGGTGGTGGTTTTATTTTAGAAGAGAGAAGTAGAGCCCAGTTCTCATTAGGGTACAATTTGTGGCCTGCTTTAGATGTTCCCATGAACACAGGGACATCTTATTCCGATTTTGTTTAGTAAACCAACACATTTAAAAAAAAACAACAACAAAACTCAGACACCATGAGGCACTTCAATAAAGCAGCGGGTACTTGAAAACTGAGCTTATCACCCTGTGTGATACCCTACTGAGCAGTCAATACTTGTTGAATAAACAAGAAGAAACATCTCCGAATTGTTTCCCTATCAAAAAGATGATGGCGGGAAGTGTGCGAGTAAATACAGAGTATGCTTATAAAGCTGATTTTTAAGGTGGGGTACACCTGAGGGCTCCCCAGAATGGAAAGCCTTCTGGCAACTGGTGTCATGAACCCAGTGGCTCTGCTAGCCTGTGCACTTGATGGCCTGTATTTTTGTTTTCACCACCCTCCCCTCCCCCTGCAACCCACAGCAGTGGGAGGGTCCAAAAGGCCGTCACTGGCCACTGGCACCGCCTGGCCCCCTCCAACCCTGCAGCTTCCCTGCAGAACTATGCAGCCCTCCCCTCACTGCAGTGCCCTTCCTCCACCCAAGATTCCCGATGACCAGGAGGCTCAGCTCCAGAATACCCAATTATTTTCTCTCTCCACCCTTCTAGCTTCTCCCTCATCCAGGTCTCCCCACTGCTTGCAGCCCCCACCTGCACTGCGGTCTTTGAATCTGAATCCTTCCCTTCTCCTGAAATCAGCTCAAACACGCACCTCTTCCAGGAAGTGTTTCTTGAGCAAGCTCTCTCTAATCACTCGTTAGCTCCTGCCCTGGAGTCCCTACATACCTTACTCAACAAAAGGGGGGGGATATTGTCAGTGCTACAAGTAGGGTTGTAATTGTGTGTCTGGTGCACAACCTGTGTGGTGTCCACCACTTCTAGGATTATACGTCTGACAGGAACAAAGGCGAGTGGCGAGAAGGTAGGCTAGGATGACTGTGTCCGCTCACTTGTTTTACCTTATACATAGTCCTGATTGCCCCCCCCTTGATTATAGGGTGTGAAATCTCTAGCAGTGTGCAGCAAAGATGAGAGTCCAGTATTCTGTAATGTACACTATGTTTTGATGCTCTGCTAATCTTTTGAACTGATTAGAATTTGCTTACCTCATCCAGCTTTGCCACACAGGGAGGGGCCCAGAAGTCCCAGCCTTGAGCATCCTTAGACATGGGTAGCTGCTCACACAAGAACCTCAAGGCTCTGCCAGTTTGCCACTTTGCCTTACCGGTTCTGAAATCCACCACCACCCTCTTTGGTGATTCTTTGAGGGAAGACATCCAAGGCCACCAGTGACTCACAAGTGTGTGGGTATTTGGGAGGGAAGGATGCCCTTCTGTAGTGGAAGTGCCTTAGCACCTGAGGGCAGTGTTTTTCAAAAGGGACAGGGTGAAAGGGCATTAAAGCCAAATTATGTTCCCCAGAGCCAGCGCAATCCCAGGCAGCTAGCAAGTTTAGAATGCAGGCACGTTGGTGCAGTGTTTGTGTTCTAGATTTTGTTTTGGCTGTGCTTGTGTCTTGTCTGTAAATGGAACCCCCTCAGAAAAATGCTGCCCTTGGAGGCTGAAACACTAACCCATCTACCCCCACTTACGGTCCCTCCATGCCAGGGAAGGTGGCCTTGCCAGAGCTGAGTTAAATGGGAGTAGCTCCTAAACAGCCCAGACGCTGATTCAGGCCTGGTCTGTGCAGGACCAGTGCCAGGGAACTCCGGGGAGACTCCCCTGTCCAAACTGTGGAACCCGGGGTTATCACTGGACTGGAATTTGCTAGTACCCTCGGCCTGCGGCTTTCACTAAGCAGAATGTGTGGAGTGTGCTCACACGTTTATATGAGATCTACGATTCTTTTCCCACGGTATTGAGTCTATGCTGGGCGATGCCCACTCAGCTTCTTGTTGAGCAGACCCTTCTGGAAATGCAAGGTTGGCTGAGGGCCTTGGGAGCCCAAGAAACAACTCTCTTCATCTTTTTTCCCCAACCCACTGAGCAATGTGTCGAGTGGTAAGGTTTTCAGCTGTGTGTCGCTAATCTGACCACTCAGTCCCGGCAGCAGAGGGACCGACGCGGCAAGGCCGGGTTGGCAGGTGGTTGTGGCCTGAGCTCTTCCCCCAGCCCTTCCCGCGCCACAGCCCACAGCGAGGCATCGGGGAGCCAGGTCTGCATTGGCGCCACAGCTGGCCAAGGTGAGGAGTGCAGAGAGAGAGAGAGAGAGAGAGAGAGAGAGAGAGAGAGAGAGAGAGAGAGAGAGAGAGAGAGAGA